ATCTCATCAGCATTTCATTCATTTGTGTGAAGAAACTTGCATCTAACTGTTATTTTTAAAGTTTAGGTTATTATTTATAATATAAAAGATATCTTGCCTTACAGGATAAAGACACAGTGAAAACCTGAACACAAGCTGTATTCACAGAGCCTCTTACTCTCATCCAGCATTAGAAAAGTTCAAACAACTAAAGAGTTATTAGAAATATGTCCCTTAGTCAGTTTACTCACTGATAGAAAATGGCTCCCTTAAGGGTACATAGTGTAATACAACATGAGGAAATTCAAACATGACTTGTGTTGTGACATTTCAAACTTTACCTTTGAGCAACACACACACAAAAAAGTAAATTCTTAGTATTTTTCTTTGCAGTCAGGATGCAGCAGGTCTTCAGCACACTGTTAGATATTTCAGTTCATCTGTGAACTAATACTTCCTGCTGTACTGTATTCCCATACAGTGTATTACCATACAGTGCAGGTGTAAAGCGGGAGGGAGTGTTAGCATCCTGTAGGTTGCTCTAATGTTCCAGTGTGAAGTTTATAATTGCTTGTTACTGTATTGTGTATTGTGAGCATGTCTGTTTACCCTCAGACCACTGCTCCGTATGGTACCAGAGGTAAGCTGCTAGCACTGACTCAGAGGGACAGATTGGGCTTCTTGCCTGTTAATCCGGACAGTATTTGCTCATATAGATGATGACCCCCTGTCATGATTTGTCTGCATCCTGGATGAAACTGGATTTATCTTCCCAACTGCTCTGAAAAGAATATTCCAAGGGTGAAGTCATCTAAGTGGTGGAGTGATTAGAACATGCTCATCTATATATATAAACCTTCAGGAGGTCTCTACTGGGAGCCCAATGATCCAGGTCTCCTCCTCTCTAAAACAAACGGACCAACTGATTAAAACCGCTAAAAACACATAATTAAGCAGTTCCACCTTAGGAATCACAATTTCCAAAAATGCTATGTGGTGGACAAAGACGTCCAATGACTATCTGGTTGATATATGTAGTTAAAAAGCACCAAGATCTAAACAGTGGATGATAAAAATGTGGCTTCAGACTGGATAAAAAGTCAATGTATGATAGCTTCTGGCAGACAACAAAACTCTGGCACAAAGGGGATATGACGCCAAAGACTGGCAACTGGTGAAATGCAGCGTTACCTGAATAAAATTACTGATTTCTTTGAATATGATTATTGTTGAAAACATTTGGGATAATGGAAGTACACAACTCAACTCCATATAGAATATAGCTCTAGGGTTTACAGACAGAATAATGTGGAAATGTTACATACTAGAGCTTTATCTGCAGTTTTAAATGCTGAAATAATATGTGACAGTCACAATTTATTTAAGGGTATCAGTTGACTTTAATTTTTGTTTGTTTGTCTCTTTTCCAGGTGAATTCCAGTGTTT